CTGTCACTAGTCATCCCCTCCCTCACTCTGTCACCAGTCACCCCCTCCTTCCCTAGTCACCCCATCCCTTAACTGTCACTTGTCACCACCTCCCTCTGTCACTAGTCACCCCCTCCCTCACTCTGTCACTTGTGACCCCTCACTGTCACTAGTCACCACCTCCCTCACTCTGTCACTAGTCACCCCCTCCCTCCCTTACTCTTACTTGTCACCCCTCCCTCCCTAGTCATCCCATCCCTTAACTGTCACTTGTCACCCCTCACTCTGTCACCCCCTCCCTTACTCTCACTAGTCACTGTCACTTGTCACCTATTCCCTCACTCTGTCACTTATCACCCCTCACTCTGTCACTAGTCACCCCTCATTGTCACTAGTCATCCCCTCCCTCACTCTGTCACTAATCACTCTGTCACTACTCACCCCTTCCCTCCCTTACTCTCACTTGTCACCCCTCCCTCCCTAGTCACCCCATCTCTTAACTGTCACTTGTCATCCCCTCCCTCACTCTGTCACCCAGTCCCTCCCTCTGTCACTTGTCACCCACTCCCTCCCTCTGTCACTTGTCATCCACTCCCTCACTCTGTCACTTGTCACCCCTCACTGTCACTTGTCACCCACTCCCTCCCTCTGTCACTTGTCATCCCTCACTGTCAATAGTCACCCCTCACTGTCATCCACTCCCTCACTCTGTCACTTGTCACCCCTCACTGTCACTTGTCACCCACTCCCTCCCTCTGTCACTTGTCATCCCTCACTATCAATAGTCACCCCTCACTGTCACTAGTCACCGCCTCCCTCACTCTGTCACTAATCACCCCCTCCCTCCCTCACTGTCACTAGTCACTCCCTAACCCTGTCACTAGTCACCCCTCCATCCCTCACTCTGTCCCTAGTCACCCTATCCCTCCCCCTGTCACTTGTCACCCCTCACTCTGTCACCAGTCACCCCCTCCCTTACTCTCACTAGTCACCCCATCCCTCTCTATGTCACTTGTCACCCCTCACTCTGTCACCAGTCACCCCTCCCTTACACTCACTAGTCACCCCATCCCTCCCTCTGTCACTTGTCACCTTCACTCTGTCACCAGTCACCCCCTCCCTCACTTTGTCACTGTGTCACCCCCTCCCTCACTCTGTCACTAGTCACCCCTCCCTCACTTTTTCACTAGTCACCCCCTCCCTCCTTCACTGTCACTAGTCACCCCATACCTCTGTCACTAGTCACCCCTCCCTCTGCCACAAGTCACCTCATCCCTCACTGTCACTAGTCACCCCCTCCCTCCGTCACCCCTCCCTCTGTCACTAGTCACCCCTTCCCTCACTCTGTCACCAGTCACACCCCCCTCACTGTGTCTCACCCTCACTGTGCCACCAGGTGCCACTCTGCCACCTGTCACCACCTCCCACACTCTTCCACCTGTCACCCCCTCCCTCACACACACTCTGTCACCTGTCTCCACCCTTGGACAAGTAGATTTTAAAAAAAATATTCCACACCCCTGCACATGCAGACACGCACTAACGCTCAATACGCATATGCATTCACACTGACACTATATACAAAATAGCATATGTAGTCATCCAGACATGCACAAGTGCATTCACACAGACTCAGATACAAACATGCTTTGATACACTTGTCTTCACAAAATACACATCCAAAGGAATGCCGTATTATAGGAGAGTTATATTTAACATTTATTTAATGCACATATATTTGGCCTTCAAAGGGCCTGGGATCTAATTTTGCCCGGGGGCCCCAAAGGCTCTCAGTCCGCCCCTGCTGGTGTGTGCTATTCCTGCACAGAATTTTGTGTTCAGCTACATCTGCTGAGTATAACGATACCCCCATTGTATTCTTTTGGCACAATTCTGTAAAGCTACAATGCCATATAAGAGACAAGGCTATTTCAGTTTCTATAGTTAGAATTTTCGTAGATGAGTTTGATGGGTCTATGCCTCATTTTAGGGTATTATAGCAGTGTGACTGTTCAAATAACCCCACAAAGGGCTTTCATTTGATAAAGTAGACACCCCAGGGTATCTTATATGGTGTATATTGTGCCTTAACATGTCACAATTTTTTCACCAATTTATGTCAATGTTTGTGGTGAGGGGGACAAAAATGGCATTTTTACATATATGCAAAATAGTGGAGTGTTATAAGTGTGACAGAATTGCCACAACAAACAAAACCCAGTGGAGCGCTATTGTAACAAAACACAACTTACCCTTATAATAAGGGATACAAATCTATAGTATGGAAGTATCTAGAGAAAAAATAAATGGAAACAATTGGTGCAGTATGCTTGGAACTAAATAGTAAGAAAAGACTTTAAATGTAGCAAGCTCACATGACTTAGAGCCTGGAAAGGATAGGCTCAAATCACAAGCGCTGGGGTATTACCAGACTTCTTCTATGACGGCTTTCAGATACTCAGAAAAAGGAGAAAAGAAACAGTGGAACAAAGTCCCAGGTACTTGCTCACCTTATTGAGAGCCAATCCAAACTGGGCTCTCAGTCTAATAAGCACTGTGCTATTAAAAGGGCACAACTCTTCTTTTAAGGCAGGAAAAAGTTGTTGCAGCTCATAGAACTCATTAAAAATAAAAACAATTTATTGTATAAACATACATAAAATATAAATAAAATATCATCAAATAATGGTCAATATAAAAGTCCTCGCTGTCCGAGACACGTTTCACCTTATAGAAAGGCTTTTCAATCAGTTTCCTGCTTTAATTTTCCCTTTGTTTATATATCCAAAAGGCTTCTTCCCATTGGTTCCAGCTGCCTTCTTTCTTCACTTTCGTCTGCCCAAACAAGGGAGAAGATATCCAGTTCATCTGTTAAGGGAGGGGAATTGTTTCCTATTTCTATAGACTTCCTCCGTTTGTGACAGCCTCCTCACTACTAGAGATGTACTGGATACCACACTCACCAAATAACTCAGGTGCTCTGAAGTTAGGGCTGGCCAGGCATCCCTTGATAAAACCTAGAAGGGTCGAAACCTTGCTGCTTTTACCCCAATAAAGCTGCTATTTTTATTATCCCGGAGTGCCTTAGCCTTCTGAGTACAGCATAAGTGCAGTTGTTGGCACCCAGTAATTTGGGCATGTGTGCCATCTTAAAGAAGTCAACCCTGACTCTCCTCAGGAGTGATGGGGAAATTAATTTAGTCTTGACTCTAGACAGAAAGGCACCTGGAAACGGAATGCTGACTAATCTCACCAACTTCCCCAGTTTTTGACAGGAGTGCTTACCAAAATAGTACAATACAGCTAACAACTTCTAGCTCCGAAATTGAATGGTCCCTTTCAGTCAGAGGCTCCAGATCCTGACTTATGTGCTGGTGTAGAGCCAGGATGTTGTTATGGGAAATCCTAAAAGACTGGAGGATTTTTTTGGTCAGTCAGTGACTCCAAGACAGTCCTTTGCAGAAAAACCTGGATTAGCCAGCATGCATCACTTATCCTGTGCTCTCCTGTGGCACTTTCATTAGGCTTGTTCACTTGGAGTTGTTTCTAAATAGTCTCTAAGTAGGCTATTTCAAGTAGGAGTTAAAAAAGCAGTTAAAACAAACAAGGAGTTAAACCCCTTAAGGACACAGGCAATTTTACAAGTTCTAGTCAAAACAAAACGTGGAATTAGCGCTGTTAGTCTATTCGACCATAATTCACCTAACCCTCTTCACTGCTAGAAAGAAAGAAAGAAAGATTGATTTATTTAAACCTTCCAAGGCCCCTACCATGCAACAGGTAGGGGCTTAACTAGTAAATATTTAAAATTAGTGACAGGTGACCAATACAGCCCAGTCACCAGAAAGGCCCTAACCCTTGGGGATGGAGTCTGGAAAACAACAGGGGGGATGAAAAATAGAAACTTTAAAAGAGAACCCTGACTTTTTTTTAAAGTCCATAAAGCATTTTGATCTTTTAATATTTTTTTTATCTGCATTTGATATTGAAATGTGTTGTTTTGTGTTATTTCCTATTTATTAATGTTGAAGACTGTTTATATTTAGTATTTTAATATGACTAATGTAATAGTAATTCCAGTCACTGGTGGTGTTAGATACACTGTTTTTGTGTGATGAAGCAGCCTTTAATTTCCTGTTTAATGTGAGGTTTTGTCATCAGTCTGTAGTTCCTTGTCTCACTGTGTCTCTTGCACAGTAATATACACCAGATTCTTCACTTCTCATATTAGTGATTTTGACATAAACTTCATTCTTTGCGGTGTCTCTGGTGAAAGTGGCTCGATTGTTAAACGAGGAGCCAGGCTGTGAGGTTCCACTGTTGATAATACGACCAATATATTCCAGTCCCTTTCCTGGAAGCTGTCTGATCCAGCCCCAGTGATAACTAGTAACATCCACTGAAACTTTACAGGTCAGTTTCATAGTCTCTGAGGGTTTCACAGTTACTGATCCAGGTTGATCCAGGGTAACTGCTTGCGAGAGGACATCTGAAACATAAACATGTTTAATAAACATTGGAAGCCTTAATAACTAAATATTGTTTTTCTCAAATATGTGCAGTATAACTAAACACCTTACATGACACAGATATCAGCAGAGGGAGCACAATGTAGAAAGCCCTCATTATGTTCAGTGGATAATCAGAGCAGACAGTACAGACAGTATCTGCTGGTTCGTATCACTGAGCTCAGTCTGTGACACACACAGCTTATAACAGGACGGAGAGACTCTGATTTACATGAAGATCTCTATAAGAGGAAGACAGACTGAGGCTTGGTTTTTCATTCAGCAAGGGGAAAATTAAACATATAAATAAAGCATAACTGCTAAGGAGGACAATATATAGGTGATGGAATATCAAAAATGTATGGTGAATATAAAATAAGGTCTCTGCATCTTACAGCATTATTGATTTCATGTGTCATATAACATTATTATTGAGATGTAGTAAGCATGGTATTATTATTATTTTATTTTTTTCTATTTTTTTTTACTTAAACTCAACTCTTTATCCTACGTGGAACAAAATGTATAACTTTTGATAAACAATCTGTGATCCAGAGGAGATTATAATGGTATTTGAATTATAAACCTACCTTATAAAATTGTATTGTTGACAAAAAAAAAAAAAAAAAACATGTCAGACAGTTTTGGACAAGATTACTAATAGTGTCTATGTATTATGTAATGGTGATGATTAGTAAATTATTAGCAGATGACAGCCATCATGAATATGAGCACATTAAAGAGTTACTTCAAGCACCATAATCACTTCAGTGAGTTGCTTCTGGAGGTGTAACTCCACCTCTGCATCACAAGCCAGCCCACTAATGCTCTCAGCTAACGAATGGCAATAGTATTGTCATACATGTTCTGTAGCTATGCAGAAGCTGGATGCACATCACCAGAGCAGAAAGGACCCTGATGCCCATTGGACATCCAGGCAAGAGGGCAAACTGTTGAAAAATAGTTTGTCCCATTACTTGGGAACAGGGAAAGTTCACTCCTCACATCTTAACCACTACAGACGAGCTGTACTAGTAATGAGGCTTGGGATAACCCTTTCATATTGTTATGTATTAGCATAACATAAACTCAATATTGAGTTATCACAGGTCTACCAGAAAGGGATTAACGTTATGTAGACTAAAAGTTCTTGCAGCATACATAAACGGACATGCTCTACTATTCCAGAAAACAAATAAAGGTCACTACTGTACAGTTGTTGAGTTGAAAGTTTACATTACATTACTGACAGTAATCTGCTGTTCTGGCTTCTTCATCTTCACTTGGTTATTAGCCTAAGTTACACTATTCTTATACACTTTAATTTCTGATTTCATTTCATTAGCCCCTTAACCCCTTAAGGACACATGACATGTGTGACATGTCATGATTCCCTTTTATTCCAGAAGTTTGGTCCTTAAGGGGTTTGTTTGTTTTGTACTTAAGGACACATGCATTTTAGTAATGTTTGGTATGTGTGTATTTCAGCACAATCCCATCTTTTTGATTGATTGCAACAACACATATAAAGGACCAAATGGGCTTTAATGTGATGTGACATAGACATACATAAATTCTCATGTATTGTAAAAAATATATAATTTAAAAAAAATATTTTTATTTATATATAGGTATATATATAGTGATATATACGTATATATTTATGTATATAGATATATATATTATTTCTTTCTACATGTATTTTGATATAAATATATATATATATATATTAATATCACAATACAGTTAGAACGAAATAACACACATCTATATATTTTTTAATTATTTATTTTTAATTATTTTTGTAATTTTATTTTTTAACGTATTTACATATTTATTTTTTTATATTATATATAAATATATCTATAACAATAATTATATATATATATTTAATCAGTATCAGTCTATGTGTAATTTGATATTAATATATATATATATATATAATTATATATATATTAATAGTAAAATACACCTAGACAGTGTATGTGTGTGTATGTATATGTGTATATATATACTTAGATCATATATATATAATGTATATATATATATATGATCTAAGTATATAATTAATTTTTTTACACTTTTTAATTTAATTTTATTTTATTTCCAGCCAGCAGGGGGACTACCTGTCATTACAATGCAGCAGCCAGCTATCCTGGCCATGTGATTGTGAGGTCCTCGCAAGGACCTAACTCTCACATGGCAGGGGGGGGGCTGCAGGATGGAGGATCCGCCGCGGGGGGCTCCCTGGGAGTCCCCCCAACCACGATCGCCGGCGACCGTGTAAGTAAGAAAAAACTATTACGCCCGGCGGCGTTTAGAGCCGCCTAAAATAGGGCGTAATAGTACGCCCTCCGGTCTTAAGGGGTTAAGGCATTTGCAATATATACATACATCGAGTTGAAATCAGTGACAAAGGTATAAGCATACAAGTTAAAGATAACAATGTGTCTGTCGCATGTTGACAGAGATAATAATGATAGCCTATTGTTAAGCTTATAATCACTAATGAGTAGAGTCTGCCTATTTTTTGTTAGGTTAATGTCAAGTAGTGTAGTGCGTCAGTGTGACTATGTGGAGTCTAGTGTAGAAACGTTAAACTTGGGACATCAGTGGCGCACCACATTTGTGTAGACCCTTGTATGTGCAATGGGCCTGGGGCTATAGTCAGTCGAGGTAGTGTGCGCTTAAAGTATGTGCTCCTGTTTAGCATTTCAGAGTGAGGCAATATAGAACTCCATCATTCTTGCAGGAATGTGTTGGTATGAACTAAGCTCCACTTGAATGAATGACCCCTAACCGAGGGGTTCCGGGGGGGAGGAGAGTAACTTTTCAGCACTGAGTGCGCTCTATGGAGAAGGTGAACACCCTGCAGTTTCATAGACGTTATATTTGGTTACAAATTGGTTAGTACCAGGTGAATCAACAAATAAAGAAGACAATTGAATAAAATATAAATCTTGAGGATAAAAAATCAAAGATAAAAGAAAAAAATAATTAGTTGCTCCCTGTCAAAGTTCAGGTAACTGGGCTCTGCCCTTCACCATTCCTCTGCCCTTCACCGGTCTGGCTCCCAGTCATGTGGACTATGGGAGGCAGGCAGACTGGTTTGCATGGTCTGAATGCCTAGGGCTTGGAAAAATGCCAGGGCCTCAGCTGTTGAGGATAACTGGTATGTCGCTCCGTTCCTTCACACACTCAAGGATCTCTGAGTCGACCATCTGTAAGAGACCCCGGCGGCACGGCATTGGTGAGCTACTGGGCTTATGGAATGCCTCCATTGGAGAATGAACCAGGTAATAGGTGAGTGTGGATGATTTGAAGGTGTAGAGTATTTTTCCCCTTAATGCCGACCAGATGTGGCCTTTATCAAGAAGCGTTTGGCAGCATGCTATCACGTCCTGTGGAGACGCTGCAGGAGCTTTCTGGGATTTGTTAATACGAAAGCAGCCATCAAAGACAATCTTCTGCGTTGCCAGTATCAGGGAGGCTACCAGGCGTCTCATATAATGTGGTAGCTCATCAGGCAAGACTGCATCTGTAATGCCCCTAATCTTGATGTTAGCTCTGCGGCTTCGGTCATCAAGAATGTCAGCTCTCATTGCTAAGGAGGTTTGAGTTTTCTGAATTTGTTGCATGGATTCTCTTATTGTAGAGACCTGTTGGCGCAGGTCAATAATATCCTCCTTAGTGGCCAGGGTTCTTGCTGTCACTGCTTGGACTTCCACTTTAAGAAGGTCAAGGTCAGCTGCAAACAGTTGCTTAATATTTTGTAGCAGGTTGGCAATGTCTTGTTTTGTGGAGGGCGTATGATGGTCCTCTCCAGGGGTCTCTGCTGGTGCATTTGGCCTTTCCAGGGGAACAGGGACCGGCTCCTCCACTGTGTGTCTGGGCATGGGTGTGCAGGCCTTACCTTCCACCTGGGTGGCCATCTTGTGTGTCACAGGGTGCTAAAACATAGTGCCGATATTGAAGTTCTCGTTTACTCTAGTCTGAGGCTGGTATCGGCAGCCCATGTTGTATGTGCTCTGGACCTGGGCCGGTCTTTCAGGTGAGTAGTAGAGTAGTTCCTCCAATGACAGGCCCGAAGGCAGCACGGAGGTTTTAGGTTGCTGAGGGGCACGAAAAGCCTTAATCCATAGGCGTGGGAGTTTGCCTGTTATATGGTAAAGGATAGGCATCTGGTGGTTCCACACCATGTTAGGGAATGGTATATGCTGGATTGCGTCTAAATATTGTGTTTTAGTCAAGTAATTTAGCTGATTTCGATCGCTAGCGCTGGAGCTCTCAAAAAAAATGTATATGTAGACATACAAAGGAGTATACAGAAAAGAAATAACAACCATAAGCACACATATCAGCTGGGTATGGGGATGCACAGTGTTTTTTAGATAAAAAAACTGTGGGACATCTATGACTGTCATTAACACACATGGCTGTGTGACTTGGAAGGAAAAGCGTCCAGGTGCGGCCTATTGGTAGTGCCCACATCTCCAACAGATCAGGGACTAGTTTGGATATATTTTAAGTATGTGAGTAGGTACCATGTACCATCTATACAGTGTTTTCTTTTGTTGTTTTAGGAGTGGGGCTGATGTGATCACCCTTTTCGTAGAGGAGATAAAGTGTTCCCATTTTTTTCTTGGGGCTGGGGACCTGGAGGTCTAGAGCCCAATGTTGTGCAGGTGTGGAGACATCAAATGGTTTGTAAGTCTGGAGGAGCTGGTAGCACCTGGAGAGTGGCTTATAGCTAGGTGGGAGTGTACCTTTTACCCCTATTTGTTCCCATAATGAGAGCTCCTGTGGTTTATGACCATTGGTGGCAGTTACTGGTTCATGCCGTTGTAAGAAGGATTTGAGTTGCATATAAGAGAATTTGGAGGTGTATGGGATGTCGTAAGCTGATTGGATCTTTGGAAAATTCATTAGAGTACCTGACTCATGTGCGTGTAGTAAGTGTGTGGCCCCTCTCTCTTTCCATGGTGTTGCTTGGAATGTCGGGATGCAGTAGTTGATGGCATCAATCGAGGTGGCTAAAGATAGGGGATGTGCTGTTTCTAACTTTGGTCTATGTTTATCCCATATTTGTAGGGCTAGTTTGATTTGTGTCGGCAAGAGTAGTACAGCAGGTCTAAACTTTTTGGGGAGCCACTGTAAATTGGGAATGGTGAAGGGTCGTATAGCTAGGTTCTCCAGGGATACCCACTGAGGTTGATTGTCTCTAATGAAATGAGGTATTAGTAAAGTTAAAATTGCTGCCTGGTAGTAGATTTTAATATATGGGTATACCATCCCTCCCCAGCGCACCAGGGCCTTCAATAGTTTGTTGGATATTCTAGCCCTCCCGTTTCCCCAGGTGAATTGTGTCACTTCCCAGTGCATAGTCTTAAAGTAGGATTGAGGTACATGTATCAGAACAGGTATTGGAGTTTGGCCACTATGCGCTCTGTCCAGGTAAGAAATAGGCGTCTCCAGTTTCGTAGGATGGATTTACATTACTTCCAGACCCTGGTGTAATTAGTGGGGAACATTTCAGAGACCTTTTTGGTGAATGTTGGCCTAGATATTTCAGGTCGTTCTTTCTCCATTCAAACTGGTACTCCCTACGTAGGTTTGTTAGTACTTGTGGGTCTAGTCGGAGTCCTAGGCCTTGTGTTTTGCTGGTATTAAGGGAATAGTATGACAGGTAACTTCCGCAACTTCAACTGTCAAACGCTAAGCTGACTACCAACCAGGAAAAAATCTTGGAATGAGGTTTATCTTTTGTCCCAATACCATTGTTTAATAAATTTAATTGGACAAAAGATATTCACCTGTTTGCTAGATGGCTAGCTTTACATAAATATCACAAAATCCAAAAAGAGAAAAAAGCAAAAAACTTGTGCCTGACAGCAAAAGATTTAGAATGTGTCGAATCTAGTATCTCTCTTGGAAGACAATGAGGGATCTATGGTAACTCCATCACATACCTATTTGAAGACAAAAATATATTTTACCCCCAACTTCAAAGAATATCGGAGTATTGATATATTTGTGGAAATGACAACAAATGCCATTGAACAAATTCAGGAAGACACCCTAGAATTGACTATTCATGGTAACCAGTCAAAACAGGGATGGTTTGCCCTAAATGATATTAAAAAATGAATCTCTCATAATTAAACCTGCAGATAATTTAGTGTTGATGAATAGAGAGGACTACACACTAATGGATGAAAAGATTCTGAAAGAGGAATCAACCTATAGAATTTTGAAAAAGAATCTGACCATCCAATATCTGATTGAATAGAAAGCTCTATCAGATGAAGCTCTAGATAATGGTACACTATCCAAAGAGTAATATAATTTCATCTACAATAGATCACCCAAAATCTCAACCTTATATTGTCTACCAAAAATACATAAACAATATACACACCTTACAGGAAGACTTATTGTTTCAGGGATAGACAATATGACCCAAAATGGGAGCCAATATATTGATCAGATAGTAAGAAAATTTGTTGTGACTCTACCTTCATACTTAAAGGACACCAAAGAGACCCTAAGTTATCTATCAACTACGCAGCTACCAGAAGGGGCATATCTGTGTAGTTTAGATGTGGAGTCACTCTATTCATCAATACAACACAAGATTGGCCTTGGACATACTAGGAATTTCCTAGAACTAAGATGCAAAAGCCATCAGGCACGTACTGAATTTATTTTTAAAACTCTTACAATTGTTTGATTTCTTTTGTCATTTTCTGCTATATATGCAATGATGTTTGGCTTGTGGTGTTTGGCTTGAAAAAGAACTCTGTGTAGGTCGAAACGTTGCTGCTCTTTTTGTTCCATTTAAAACCTGCCTGCAGCTTTAACACTTGAGTGCCTGGATATTCCTTTTTTTGCCTTGATGTGTTGGGATTGCTGGTCCTGTTCCAGAGCATCGGTGGCTGCTGGGATTGAGTTTGGCTCCTACAATTATCTTTGTAATACAGTATGTACAGCACCTTGGATCCTGCACCTCCCTGATGTGATTATTCTTAATTGATTTTTTTTTTTTACTTTTTCAGCTTGTGTTTAATTTGGCAGTATGGAACAAAATGTATTTTCTGGTACTTTTTCGTACTCGGAGGGGGATGCTATGCGAATCCTCCAGGCGGTTGAAAGCAACCATTCCTTTTTACAAGTTCCTACCTCAGATAATGTCTCCAGAACCCTAGAAAATGCCTTAAGAAGCACCTGAGTTATACAATGCACAGTGTTACACTGGCAGAATATTACAGGGTACATAGAATACTAAGAAGCATGAGGATGAATGTGCAACCTACTCTATTCAGAGATTATGGAGATTATTGTACCAGACTAGAGGCGATTCTTAATAAGTGTTCCATGGTCTGGATCTTTCTTAATTTAGAGTTTCTACAACAAGCGATTGTCAAAACAAAAGAAGAAGAAGCTAAACTTGAAGCAGAATTAATCAAAGCCTCACAAGGGTTAGCCCTAGCTACAATAAAAAGTAAAATCAACCATAGTGTTGATACACTCAAGAGAGAGATTGAAGAACGGAAGAGAAATACATTTCAAAGGGATCAGACTGATTATGAGTTGGGCAATGTATATAGATGGCACAATCATGACAAAATAAGAAATTATCCCTCCTATGAGAAAAAAGACACCGAAATCTAAACACCACACTGGTGAAGATTCATAAAATACAGAGATGGAAAACTTCTAGGATAGTTCTCTCTCTTTTTTAGAGAGAACCCCCTCCTCACGAGTAACATCAAGCGAAGAAGGATGCGACGAGGCGGGGGTGGCAACAAGAAATCAGACTTTACCAGCAATTTGGGACCACAAAAAAACTGGGACCAAAGAGAAAAAACTACAGTAATCAACATCTCATCAGTTGAATTGACGAATGATGAACTTGCCGTTCTCTCTAAATGTCTGACTTTTTTTCCTAGTTATACTCCCACACATGTGGAGATTGATTAGGAACTAACCCGTTTCTTTCGTTCCTTAAAACTAAAAACCTTCTTTGATAAAGTGCAGGTACCTCTCTCTTCCCCTGTATTTTTTTTTACTTTTTCAGCTTGTGTTTAATTTGGCAGTATGGAACAAAATGTATTTTCTGGTACTTTTTCGTACTCGGAGGGGGATGCTATGCGAATCCTCCAGGCGGTTGAAAGCAACCATTCCTTTTTACAAGTTCCTACCTCAGATAATGTCTCCAGAACCCTAGAAAATGCCTTAAGAAGCACCTGAGTTATACAATGCACAGTGTTACACTGGCAGAATATTACAGGGTACATAGAATACTAAGAAGCATGAGGATGAATGTAACCTACTCTATCTAGAGGCGATTCTTAATAAGTGTTCCATGGTCTGGATCTTTCTTAATTTAGAGTTTCTACAACAAGCGATTGTCAAAACAAAAGAAGAAGAAGCTAAACTTGAAGCAGAATTAATCAAAGCCTCACAAGGGTTAGCCCTAGCTACAATAAAAAGTAAAATCAACCATAGTGTTGATACACTCAAGAGAGAGATTGAAGAACGGAAGAGAAATACATTTCAAAGGGATCAGACTGATTATGAGTTGGGCAATGTATATAGATGGCACAATCATGACAAAATAAGAAATTATCCCTCCTATGAGAAAAAAGACACCGAAATCTAAACACCACACTGGTGAAGATTCATAAAATACTGAGATGGAAAACTTCTAGGATAGTTCTCTCTCTTTTTTAGAGAGAACCCCCTCCTCACGAGTAACATCAAGCGAAGAAGAATGCGACGAGGCGGGGGTGGCAACAAGAAATCAGACTTTACCAGCAATTTGGGACCACAAAAAAACTGGGACCAAAGAGAAAAAACTACAGTAATCAACATCTCATCAGTTGAATTGACGAATGATGAACTTGCCGTTCTCTCTAAATGTCTGACTTTTTTTCCTAGTTATACTCCCACACATGTGGAGATTGATTAGGAACTAACCCGTTTCTTTCGTTCCTTAAAACTAAAAACCTTCTTTGATAAAGTGCAGGTACCTCTCTCTTCCCCTGTATTTTTGTTATATGTGGGACAAACTAGTCAGAAGTTTAAAATGAGGTTTTCTAAACATAAGTCCAAGATACGCACTGGACTGACTGATTTACCTCTCCCTGCACACTTTTTGGAAGCTGGACATGGTGTCTCTAAATTAAGGTTCCAGATTTTAGAACAAATTATGGAATCACCAAGGAAGGGCGATAGGAATAAGAGACTATTATTACGTGAGGCCTATTGGATTCGGGAACTTGACACATTTTATCCCAAAGGTTTAAATTATGAATACGATCTGTCTATGCTTATTTAAATAATGGTTGCTTTAATTGTTTTTATGATGGTTGGCTATATGTAGCCTAACGTTTATATCTTCTTTATTTTTTACAGGTTTCCGGGTAGAAATATGGTGCTAGTTCTTCTTTTTTCACCCTAATCCCTTGTTTTGAGCATGACATGAGATTCTGGATTTAATTGGGACTTCTGATTTGGACACACTATATGACTTCTTAATTGCACCATAAGTATTTAACTATTTGCAATGATCATTTTAGCACACTCTATAGATATAAAAAGACACTCTGTGAAATAATTTTTGATTAGTATATTTGATTATTCTAGCACTTGGTCACTTTTTATATATTGTCCGATACTTGTTCACTTTATATTTATGCATGCACTTTAGTAATTTTGCTTATTGTTAAGCTATACTATGACACTTTTGCACTTGCACTTTATTATGATATTATTTTTTATTATTATATATTATGCTCACTTAGTGGCATTTGTCTATTCTTTCGACAACATTTTCTATACCATTTTCCATTACAGTGTAGGTGATTTTTTCACATAATGATGAATTCTGCACTGGTAACAATTAATATAAATTCTGTGCCAGCTCAATTCGTTTCACTGATCTGATATAGTTTTGAAGAATTATTTATTTTATTGACTATGCATTATATATGTATTTTTAGATTTTTCATGTATTATTTGCTGCCTCTTTTGTGCCTTGGTGGGAGATTGACCTTTTTGTTGTTATTCATACATCTTTTGTATTTCTATAGGATTATTTTTTATTTATATATTTTTAATTTTTTATTATTTTATATTATTTATTTTTACTTTTCATACTACTTTTGTTATTATTTTTTTGTTTCTTTGTTTGATTTCTGATTTTTCATTATTATTATTTTTTATTAATTTTCTATTTTTGTGTTTTAGTTTTATATTTTTTTATTCTTTTCTTTTTTCTCTTGTCTTTTTTCTCTATTTCTTTCTCTTTTTTTATTTTTTTATCTTTATCTTATATTATTTTTATCTTGTATCTTATATGTTATTTATATTTTTTCTCTCTTCTTTCTGCTTTTTTTTACTATATTACATAATTGATATTAGCCTTATTTGGCTTGTTGTTTACATTCACAGTTATTTTGTTTTGAGATTACATTTCTTGACTATGCGCATGTGCGCACCCTGGTTTATTTCATCTATATCCCATTGTGTGTTTTAACATACGAACGGATATTCTTTTCAATTCTTGTATAGCTCGTTCGTGCGCATGTCTGTGCGTTCCATTGCTTCTGTTCATGTGTTTGGACACACAAACTGATATTTGGCTTGGCACCTACATGGATCCATAGAAGGGGTAGTCCTTTTGCGTTTCAGAAGCCCTTCTGCGTTTCAATTAACCGCAAATGATTTCCTAGCGCTTTTATAGATCTTTCATTTATTTTATTTTTATTATTTATTTTTTCAATCTTGGTCTCTCCCTCCTCTGGCACATAGGGGTAGGTTATAGACTATTTCATATGGTAGATCTATAGATATATTATGCATAATTTGTATTGTTTTGTGTTATTCATTTTTGCTAATGTCTTTCACTTAAGTGAATTATTGTTTGATTTATTTTGGCATTTTCTGCTATGCATGCACAGATGTTTGGCTTTTGGTGTTAGCTTGAAAAAGACCTCTGTGTAGGTCGAAATGTGGCTGCTCTTTTTGTTCCATTAAAAACCTGCCTCCGGCTTTAACACTTGAGTGCCTTGTTATTCCTTTTTATGCATTGTTAAACAGGCCGACAATTATAAAAAATCTTCCCTGGGGATCAAAAAAAAGTTTCAGCAGTTGAAACTCTATATCTCTGTGAATGAGAATGGAGATCTCTTTTGTCTTATTTTCAGAAAAGGCATAATATTGAGTTGGAAATGTTTTTGTGAAGATCGCAGGAGTCCTGATGTTTTTAAAATGCGTCTCCTGAATACATGCTATGTCAATCTCATGTTTCTTAAGATCTTGTAGTAGTAGCCTACACTTGCCGGGGTAGTTTAGACCCTTTACATTATAAGTCAGTAACTTCATACTGTCACATTAAAATGACAAGAGTTGCTTTTTTGCATATCCATACCTATGACTCCCAGTATGGTAGTAACTGTAATTTCCTCTATGTTCATGTTTTAGCCCCATCTTCCATCTATTTTTCAGAGCTATCCATCTTACTTTTAATCTGTACTGGAGTGCAGACATCAGCATTCTGTTAGGACTTCCAAGTGGAATTGCTGGGCCGGGGTCATTGGGCTGTGACTGGGTGCGGGTGGGGTAGAACCCAAATAGTTTTAGAGCGTATTTGCGCTACCTGAAGGATAGGCGCATCCGTTGAGGGCTATGGTAGTGAGACTCTCTAGCACAGAGGGCTTCTCACAAGTGAACCGTTGGAGCACATTCAACATGAAACATGAAAACATAATAGTTATGAACAAAACCGGAGTATATGACATTTTAGTGTGACGCTGTTGTTTGCAGCCCATATCTAAGGGTTGCTACCTATTTGTAGGCATACTGAGCCCAACTGCTGTTCCTGCATGTCCTAAAGAGTGGCCGAAGGTCGCTGAATAGGCAAAGTCTGTGTCTAACCAGTGTTCTGTGCTTTTACCTACTGGACACAAGAAGTAGATGTCTATGTGTGTGCCTAGTGGTGTTGAGTACTTCAGGTATGCGAATATGAACAGTGTGTGATAAAGGTACTTAACGGTTATGTAAGGAAGCACATAATAGAACCTGTGGGGACAATCAGCGTATAGTTACATGCTACTCTGGAAGAGGCAGAGCAGTGTTATTGTACTGTTCATTCTGGAGACATCCTGGGGACTTTAGCTGGCTTGGTACTTGTAGGTGCCGGGGTCGGGAACTCCCAGTCTGTCAGCTTTTGGATACCTTGCGCCAAGTTTGTAATGGCGTGTAGAACATCATGGTGGAAAACCAGGAGATTGGCTGCGAATCCCCATCTGAAGTTTAAATTGTACTCATGGAGGGTCAAGGTGACAGGTGCCAATGACTTCCGAATATGCAGCGTTTCTGCAGACAAGTCCACAAAGATCTTGACGGTGTGGTATTTTTTTGGCATGTTAATATTCCTGCTGGCATGTACTATCCGTTCCTTGGCATGGAAGAAATTGATCCTCGCTATGACGTCTCTCGCTGTCTTTGTGGGTAGGTGTTTAGGTCTATGCAATCTGTGAGCTCTGTCTATTATGAGTTGTTCTGGGTGGATTTCTGGCATTAGATTCTGGAACAAGTCCATTAGATAATTATTCAGGTCAGCGTTAAGTACTGACTCCGGTATCCCTTGGAATCTGAAGTTGTTCCTCCTTGACCTGTCTTCCAAGACAGCTAGCTTAAGCCTGTGTGATTCCAGTGTGTCATCCAGTTCTTGGAGTTTGTCTGCTAGGATGTTATGGGCCACTGCATAGTCATCCATTTTAGCTTCCATGTAGGACGTGCGGTTCCCTATGTCCTGAATTTCCTTCTGGAGGTCAATTGACAGTGTTTGCATTTGCAGTTTGATAGTATTTTGTATTGTGTCAGAAAAGTCTGCCATTATCGCCCGTATGCTGCCCAGTTTTCAGTGGTTGTTCATCCGCGGTGGGGCCTTGTGACTCTCTGCCATCTTGTGCAGGGTCCTGGTCTTCCTGCCTTTTTAGGACCGCCGTTTTTGTAAGGAAAAAGGAGGCTCAACTCATTTTCCCCTCTAGTTTTTTGGCGTTGGGACATTGTGCTACCGGTTGCTAAGTGTATGTTGCGTTTAGTAGTCCGCTTATTTAGTGCTCTTTTCAGTTTTGTAGCCGGGAGCTGTTATTACATGTGGCCGCTCGGTTTCAGCGCGAGACCCCGCCCATATTTATTATTTATTTGTAAAGTAATAAATATATATATAGTGTATTTTTTATATATTTATATATATCATTAACGAAATTATTAATATATATGTATATATTAATAAAAAAATACACTTAGTATGACGTTATAGATAATATATATATATATATATATATACATATATATATATATATATACATATTAAAAGAAATGAAGGGGAGCGGTCAAGGATAGGGGTTTAGTGTAACACCCTCGTCCCATACCTAACCCACAAAAAAAGGTCAACTAGACTGGAAAAGAGTATAAGCATAGAACACCCATGAAGGTGTTTACAGGAGATTAGGGTCTAGAGACTAGGGACACCTTTACCAGATATCTCTAGTATTTATAGAGAGGTGGAGTCATTTGTATATATCCCTATCACCTATCTCCTCGTATATAAACCCTTCACTTTCTTTCTTTCTTTCTGTGCTTATTTCTCACTGTTTATCATATCTCTCACTATTCCTTTGTGTTTTGACTTTTGCCTCTGGATGATTACACTAGGCTCTGTTGTAGCCAATGTTATATACATTTCCATGAGGGCTTATAAACCAAAGGTGGAGATTGCTACTTTTTCTGTTAGTTCTCATTGTTACATTTATATCCTGTAGAGTTAATGTGGCATGCTTAATTACCAACTATTAGCTACTGAGCATATCACTCAGTATTTAAACAGCTTTTTGAGAATTTAAGGGATTTTTGTTTTTCAAAACTGAATTAAAGCATAGAAAATCCACGACGGTGCTTATATGAGACTGCAGGTCTATAGACTAGGGATACCCTTACCACAGACCTCTGGTAACTCTAGAGAGGTGGATTTAATTTGTTATATCCCTATTACTTATCTCTCTGTATATACCCTTCATTTTACATTTTTTCCTGTGTGATTTTTTTCTCACCATTTAACATATCTTTCACTATTCCTTTTACGTTATAGTTTTTGCTTCTGGAAGATCACACTCATTTAGATACATAAATGAGAAAAGAAAAGAAAAGTAAAACAAGGATTAGTTAGATTAAAAACAAAAGAAGGAAGGTATGTAGAAAAGGATAAAGGTCTAGCTGACTGCCTCAATTAATATTTCTGTTCGGTATTTACAGATGAAAATGAAGGAAAGGGACCTCAGTTAAGAAAAAGGATAAATGAGTCATTTATTACACATGAGTTTACAGAGGAAGAGGTTCTATTTCAACTGTCAAAAGTAAAGACAAATAAGTCAATGGGACCTGATGGAATACACCCAAAGCTATTAAAAGAGCTTAGTGGTGTACTAGCAAATCCATTAACAGATTTATTTAACCAATCATTGTTAACAGGAGTAGTCCCAGAAGATTGGAAGTTAGTGAATGTTGTGCCCATTCACAAGAAAGGTAATAGGGAGGAGTCAGTGCAAATATAGGCCAGTAAGCTTCAGTAGTGGGGAAAGTGATGGAAACCATGTTAAAGGATAGGATTGTTGAACATCTAAAAACACATGGATTTCAAGATCAGAGACAACATGGGTTTACTTCAGGGAGATCATGCCAAACTAATCTTATTGATTTTTTTTGATTGGGTAACGAAAATTATAGATCAGGGTGGTGCAGTAAACATTGCTTACCTAGATTTCAGTAAGGCTTTTGACACTGTTGCATATCAATAAACTGCAATCTTTAAGTTTGAATTCCAATATTGTTGAATGGGTAAGGCAGTGGCTGAGTGACAGGCAACAGAGGGTTGTAGTCAGTGGAGTATATTTGAAGCTTGGGCTTGTCACCAGTGGGGTACCTCAGGGATCTGTACTTGGACCCATTCTCTTTAATATTTGTATTAGTGATATTGCAGAAGGTCTTGATGGTAAGGTATCTCTTTTTGCTGATGATACCAAGATATGTAACAGGGTTGATGTTCCAGGAGGAATAAGCCAAATGGCAAATGATTTAGGTAAACTAGAAAAATGGTCAGAGTTGTGGCAACTGACATTTAATGTGGATAAGTGCAAGATAATGCATCTTGGACGTAAAAACCCAAGGGCAGAGTACAGAATATCTGATAGAGTCCTAACCTCAACATCTGAGGAAAGGAATTTAGGGGTGATTATTTCTGATGACTTAAAGGTAGGCAGACAATGTAATAGAGCATCAGGAAATGCTATCAGAATGCTTGGTTGTATAGGGAGAGGTATTAGCAGTAGAAAGAGGGAAGTGCTCATGCCATTGTACAGAACACTGGTGAGACCTCACTTGGAGTATTGTACGCAGTACTGGAGACCGTATCTTCAGAAGGATATTGATACTTTAGAGAGAGTTCAAAGAAGGGCTACTAAACTGGTTCATGGATTGCAGGATAAAACTTACCATGAAAGGTTAAAGGATCTGAACATGTATAGCTTGGAAGAAAGACGTGACAGAGGGGATATGATAGAAACATTTAAATACATAAAGGTAATCAACACAGTAAAGGAGGAGACTATATGTAAAAGAAGAAAAACTATACTGAGAGGGTAGTGGATGCATGGAATAGCCTTCCAGCTGAAGTGGTAGAGGTTAACACAGTAAAGGAGTTTAAGCATACGTGGGATAGGCATAAGGCTATCCTAACTATAAGATAAGGCCAGGGACTAATGAAAGTATTTTAAAAATTGGGCAGACTAGATGGGCCGAATGGGAATTGGGCATTCTATGTTTCGATGTTTCTCTGTCGTAACCAGTGCTGTATATACTTCTATGAGGGCTTAAACACATAAAGGGGGAGATTGCTACCTCTTCAGTTAGTTCTCGTACTGCCAATCCATGCCCATTTGGAACTAGTGTGGTATGCTTTATTATTATTATCTATTAATAATAAACTACTATCTAATAGACTATCTATTATTGAGCATCTCACTCAGTGCTGTTCCCCCTCCCAGGCTACACTGTTTAATTTGTCATAGTACTTTTTAGAGTTGATAATAAAGTTCTTTTGGGGTAGGGGCTCATTTTTTTTTTATTATTATTAATTTATTTTTCCATTTTTTTTTTTTTACTGAGTACCTCAACCCCTCGAGGTACTCAGCACATGCAGAGTATCGGAAGCCTGGCTGATGGCTTCCAATGCTCTGCCCTACACTGCCGGGCACCACGTGGAGCAACCCGGAAATGATCACTCTGGGGGAAGCGATAACTCAGGTACCCAGCAGTGAGGGGGGGTATTGTATGATGCATTGATATCGAGGCATCGTGCAATACCCATAGAGCGTCTGGAAGCGATCATGATACATCTGCAGTCCTTAAGGACCATTTTTTGTCGGATGTACCTGATACATCCGTGGTCGGGAAGGGGTTAAGGGCACAGTCAATTTTACAAGTTCTAATCAAAACAAAACTTGGAATTTGCGCTATAAGTCTGTTCAACCATAATTCACCTAACCCATTTCGCTGCTAGGGCTAACCATATGGTAAGAAGGAAAGAAAAAAAAAAGAAAAGAAAACCAAAACCCATACTATGATAAGGAAGGTTTTAAACCTCCCTAGGCCCCCACCTGCCATGCAACAGGTAGGGGCATATCTGGTAAATATTTAAAAATAGCAACAGGGTGACCAATACAGCCCAGTAACCAGAAAGTCCCTATCCCATAAGGATGGGGTATGGAAAATAACAGGGGGGAGGCATAATAGAAACTTTAGTAGAGAGCCCTGACTTTTTTTTTTTTGAAAGTCCATAAAGCATTTTGATTTTTTGTACCTGCATTTGATATTGAGATTTGTTGTTTTCTGTTATTTCCCATTTATTAATGTTGAAGACTGTTTATATTTAGTATTTTAATATGACTAATGTAATAGTCATTTCAGTCACTGGTGGTATTAGATACACTGTTTTTGTGTGATGAAGCAGCCTTTAATTTCCTGTTTAATGTGAGGTTTTGTCATCAGTCTGTAGTTCCTTGTCTCACTGTGTCTCTTGCACAAAAATATATACCAGATTCTTCACTTCTCATATTGGTGATTTGGACATAAACTTCATTCTTTGCGGTGTCTCTGGTGAATGTGGCTCGATTGTTAAACGAGGAGCCAGGCTGTGAGGTTCCACTGCTGGCAATACGACCAATATATTCCAGTCCCTTTCCTGGAAGCTGTCTGATCCAGCCCCAGTAATATCTAGTAACAGCCACTGAAACTTTACAGGTCAGTTTCATAGTCTCTGAGGGTTTCACAGTTACTGATCCAGGTTGATCCAGGGTAACTGCTTGCGAGAGGACATCTGAAACATAAACACATTTAATAAACATTGGAAGCCTTAATAACCAAACATTGTTTTTCTCAGATATGTGCAGTATAACTAAACACCAGGGCCGGCGCTACCTGTAAGGCGGACTAGGCAGCCGCCTAGGGCGCCCCTTGGGAAGGGGCGCCGCTAGGAGCGCCGGCCCCACTCATGCTGCAGCCGCCCGAGCGCTCTGCAGAGAGCCTCAGGCGGCTGCAGCTTTGCCCGGGCGGTGCGTCCATGAGGGCGGACCGTACCGCCCGGGAGCAGCCTGAGGAGAGGCTGATAGGAGTGAAGCGCTCAGCGTTCAGCGCTCCCTCCTGTCACTCCCTCTATGTAGCGTGGCCGAGCCCAGTATAGTCGGCGGGTACAGGGAGCAGCTGTCTCCTGTACCCGGCCGGACTTACAGGAAGTACACACTCAGTGTGCACTTCCTGTTAGTCCGCCGGGTACAGGAGACAGCTGTCTCCTGTACCACTATTTACTTTGCTCAGCCACGCCACTACACAGGTAGGGAGGGGGGAGAAGAAAGAGGGAGGGGGGGAAAGAAAGAAACAGGGAGGGAGGGGGAAGAAGGAAACAGGGAGGGAAGGGGGAGAAGGAAACTGGGAGGGAGGGGGAGAAAGAAAACAGGGGGAGGGAGGGGGGGGAAGAAAGAAACAGGGAGGGAGGGGGAAGAAGGAAACAGGGAGGGAGGGGGAGAAGGAAACAGGGAAGGAGTGAGGGGGGAGAAGGAAACAGGGAAGGAGGGAGGGGGAAGAAAGAAACAGGGAGGGAGGGAGGGGGGAGAAGGAAACAGGGAAGGAGGGGGAAGAAAGAAACAGGGAGGGGGAAGAAAGAAACAGGGAGGGGAGGGGGGAAGAAATAAACTGACGGGAGGGGGGAGAAAGAAACTAACAGGGAGGTGGGGGGAAAGAAACTAACAGGGAGGTGGGGGGAAGAAACTAACAGGGGGGGAACTAACAGGGAGGGGGGAGAAAGAAACTGAAAGGGAGGGGGGGGAGAAAAGAAACCGGACAGGGAGGTGAGTAGAGAAAACATAGAGGGGGGGGAGAAAGAAACTAACGGGGAACTAACAGGGAGGGGGGAGAAGAGAGTGACAAGGGAGGGGGGAGAGATTGACATCCATCACACACACACACACAATCACACACAATGCACCCCTTACACACAAAGACAATGAACCCCTTGCACACAGAAAAACACACAATGCATTACACACACACACACGCAATGCAACCCTTACACACAATGCATCCCTTACACACACAGAAACACACAATGCATTCCTTACACACACTCAATGCACCCCTTAAACACACTCAAAGCACCCCTTACAGACTCACACACTTCATCCCTTACATCCCTTACACATACAAACACAGATTCACACAATGCATTCCTTACACACAAATCAGGACATCCCCTACACACTCTACCCCCTGTGAACAAACTCATTGGTGGAACATGAAGGTGGACCCTGGGACCCAGACCTTGAGCTATGTAAAGGGCCCCCAAAAAATGGAGCTGCTTCTCGTTCTCCCAGAACATTGATTTTTGTGACCACAGTTACAAACAGCCTCCAGAGATCCTGTTATACACCAGACCAGTGGAGCCAGACTGCAGCTAGAGCCCATCATCATCCTCATCTGCTTGTAAGTAGGTAATCTAGTATATTATTCGTGGCACTAATCTCTAATTTACCTCACATTAAAGAAACACTATAGTCCCCAGAACCACAGCAGCTTAATGTCTTGGTCCTGGTGTCTATAGCCTGTCCCTGCAGACCTTTTAATGTAAACACAGCGGCACTGCAGCACTGCAGCACTAGCGTTAGTTAACATGGCAGGTCATATGGGTGGGGCATTGTGATGTCACGGGGGGGCGGGGGGGGCGGCAAACTTTACTTTTGCCTAGGGCGGCAAAAATCCTTGCACCGGCCCTGCTAAACACCTTACATGACACAGATATCAGCAGAGGGAGCACAATGTAGAAAGCCCTCATTATGTTCAGTGGATAATAAGAGCAGACAATACACAGTATCTGCTGGTTCGTATCACTGAGATTAGTCTGTGACACACACAGCTTATAACAGGATGGAGACACTCTGATTTACATGAAGATCTCTATAAGAGGAAGACAGACTGAGGCTTGTCTTATCATATAGCAAGTGGAAAATTATATATATGTGTAACACATAACTGCTAAGGAGGACAATATGTAGGTGATGGAATATCAAATAATTATGCTGACTATCAAAGATCTCTGCATCTTAACACATTATTGACTCTATATATCATAGTATATTATTATTAAGCTGTAATACATTATTATGTTATTATTATTATTAATAATAATAATAATAATTCTAATTATTTACTTACCAAACTAATCTCTATATCCTATGTGGAACAAAATGTATGACTTCTGATTAACAATCTGTGAACCTACAGGTGATTTTAATGGTATTTGTAATTATAATCCTTCCTTATAAAATGACATTGCTGACACAAAACTCTGTCCAACAGTCTGGGACAAAAAGGAGACCATTACTAATAGTCTCTATGTATTATTTAAACCTGATGATTAGTAAATTATTAGCAGATTACATCCATCATGAATATGAACAAATGAAAGGGTTACTTCAAGCATCATGACCACTTGATTTGCTCCTGGAGGTGTAACCACCGCTGCCAGAGTCAATCAAGCATCATTAGCCAGCCCACCAATGCTTTAAGCTAGTGGATGGCAATGGCATTGTCATACATGTTCTGTAGCTAGGCAGAAGCCGGATGCATGTCACCAGAGCAGAAAGGAACCTGGTGCCCGTTGGACATCCAGGCAAGAGGTCAAACAGTTGAAAAATGATTTTTCCTATTACTTGGGAAAAAGACAACATCACTCCTCACAACATAACCACTACAGCAGGCTGTACTAGTAAATGAGGCTTAGGGTAACCCTTGACAGGTGCAGAGTCGCCATATGGGCAAGCGGAATCTAAAACAAACCCCACATAACTAACCCAATAAAAACACAGACACTAAGGTATATGGGTCAAAATTGGCCACAGCATTTATTAATTAAATATATAGAATTGGTAATAAAGTAAAATTGAAAAGTCACACAACCCACCATACCACATGCATATCCCAACAGTAGATATAAAAGGCAATAACCCATATATAAACACATAACATAGAACAATATTTCAACCTGAACATAAATGAAAGTACCAACATTTTAATTAACCATGGTAGGGGTATACCTGGATACCCCTACCCCACCAGGTTCTGCGCCACCGACAAGCTCGAAACCTACCAAACTTACCAAGAGCCATCTTAACCATTTGCAAACCATCTAAAATTAGAGCCTTTTTCCTATACTTCAGCTCCCTCTCCCACTGTTGTGACAGAATGGGACAACACAGTCATCCAAACCAGGGAGGGAGGGACAAACTAAGCCAGGTAGGCAAGTCAAAAGTTATTTTTTTTTCTAAGATGGCTGCCTATTTATATAGCCCAGCCCCTCACCCTCTAAACCACAAATCCTTACCTAGATTCCTCCAATGCCCGCCTCAAGCCCTGTCAAGGCCCCCTTCCACTAAGCTGTGCTTTTGTTACATGGGGCTACATTCATATTGTTATGTATTATCATGACATTAGCACAATGTTGCATTAACACAGGTCTACCATAATCATAAAAAGTTATTGTGCAGCATAAAATAACTGACATGCCCTAATATTCCAGAGAGCAAATGAAGGTCGGTACTGTACAGTTGTTGAGTGAGCTGACTGTTTTAAGAAAAACAAATGAAAAACAAATGAGTGAAGCGTTTACATAACTGACAGTAATCTGTTATTTCTGGCTTTTTGACCTCCACTTGGTTATTGACCTACGTTAGACTATTCTCATATGCTTTTATTCCTGATTTCATTTCATTAACCCGTTAAGGGCACAACTTTTGTTTGTTTTGTACTTAAGGACATTTTTGGTATCTTTATATTTGGACACATTCTACATTTTTCTTATTGATTGTAACAACACATATACTGTTTTTTTTAAAGGACAAAAAGGGCTGTTAGTTTATGAGACATATGTGACAGAATGCCCAGCCACTTATACTAGGAGCAACCCACACCATCCTGTTTGTCAGTTGTTTATTCCACACATTGTCATCAACAGACTATTGTCACTACCTCTGGCTCAGAAGTACCTTTCCCTCCTGGCCATCGGACTGAGAGCGCCCTTTGTCTTGGACTATAACCAAAGTACAGAAGCCGCAAAGACTTCAGCAGGACTTATGTATAACTTCTCTGGAACTCCTGCCCAGACGCGGTTAGCCTTAACTCCCGGCCAACTGTCACTCAGGTTTTTCCCAACTTCCTTTCAAGCCACAAGAGTACTTTTTGGAGGCAATGTGCCTCAGACTACATGCCACAATAGCTCACTGGAAGCCATGGGGATTGCCCCTATTTCTTCCACATGAGCTCCCGACATTTGACCGGCCGCAGCCCTAATTGTTATGGAACTCTTTTGGGTTATGTCTAGTATTTCAGTTTATTTTTGGTAGTTACAAGTCACAAAGTAAAAGGAACAGAATACAATTTTGACATGAAACTATTTTACAGTTTAGTTTGTTAAATAACCATCGCATATTTATATAAAGTAGGCATCACAGAGTACTTGCCTAAGTGTATTTTGTCACTTTTTACACAGTCATTTAACTGCCAATCTGTGTTCAAAATTGTAATAAAATAGTTTATTTCTATATTTTTTTACATACACACATATAACAAGGGCTTCTTAATGTGTATTTCCTGCACAAAACCCTATATAGTACTTTTTACAGCTAAAATTTTATATATTGATTTGATGGGCCTATGTATTATTTTCGGGCTTTGTAGCGGTTTGATTGTTCAAAAGACCCCCCAAACGTCTACTATTTGTGAAAGTGCACACTACATGGTATCTCATATGGTGTATATTGTGCCTTATTGTGATACTAAATGTTCACTATTTTATTTCAAAGTTTGCAGTCATTTTTTTTTTTTTTAATGTTCACATTGCATTTTAACTGGGCATTTTGTAAACCTGACATGTGCCACTATGATCGTACCCTCTGTTTTATGCTCAGCAAATAGTTTTAAGTAAAATAATACCCACAATGTATACATTTGCCACAATGTTGTGGTTACACAATGCCATATAAGGGACTGGACTATTTCTCTTTTTGCATTGATTTAACGGGCATATTCATCATTTGGAGCATTTTACCAGTTTGCCAGTCTAGAGAAATTAACCCATAAATGCAAAACAATTACATCATGCGATATGTCATATTGTACATGACATGCGCACAGTCGTTATTCGGCATGTGCCATACCCCACTCAAAACCCTCTTTGATAAGACATGGACACCAGCTGTTGGAATATATAGTAATTAATTATTATCATAAATTTAACAAATTAGGGTCATTGCCCAATTTGTAAATAAAATCTCCCTCCATACATAAATACCCCTGGCAATGACCCCATACCAATATAACAATATATGACCATATAAATAACATATAACATGAAACATGGCCTACCAAAGAGGCCTATATCCAAATGTTTAAACTGTAGGGGTGTACTGAGACACCCCTACACCCCCGGGTCCAAAGCCACCAATGAGCTCGAACCTACCAACCAATTGTAACACTCCTGCCTAATACAGCCTAAACCTTGCCATGATCACTTCATACTCCACCTACCTCCCTTCCCCACCACAGCACATGACTTGACTCCTTAAGATCATGAGCACCCCCCACCACACAAAAACAGGGCGCTAGTAATACCTTCCTGAAAGCCCAAGTTAAGCAGGTCACAACCCACCTCCAATAAATGGACCCCATCTCTCCTAAAATACCCGGGCAGGATCCAGATCCCTATGCCGCACTGCTACTGACATCATTTTATTCACCTTTCCCCGACATCGAGCTACCGCAGGCAGGTAGATATGTAACTATGTAACCGAGGCACCATCTCTGAGAATACCACCACCACGCCAGGAACCAACTCCCGTAGCCGATCCACATCCCTCTTCATCCACCGGACTAATTCCCTCTGAGGAACCAAACCTAAATCATTACCCCCCTCCGTGAATTAACACCACGTCTGGGGTGGCACCCCCAGCCACCTTTTTCCGAAAAATCTCCACACTGATGCCTTGCCAACCCAGACCAACGCCACCAGCTCCAGAGGAAAGTCCAGCTGCGCTCCTTGTCTCCAAACTGCGGCCCTCTTCTGTGCCCAATAGACATACAAATGTCCCACCAGCCAGGCAACCCAACCTAAAAAGAAGCGAGATAGTGACACAGGAGAAACAACATCCAACCATCCCCCACCAACCCCTGTTACACTAACCTGTCCAGCCTCAGGTCTGAACTGAACCAAATAGACTCCCACCTCCCTATTCTCCTTTGCCACCCCTATCCGAAATGAGTGAGTCCCAAACTGCATCTGGTCCAGACCCAACTTAAGTAGACCCAAATGGAAAACCCGAAAAAACTGGAACTGAGACAATGCCGAACCATCAGCATGAACCAAAAAGCAACCCGCTACCCCAGGTGTCAAGTGTTTGTGAAAATTGAGAGTTGACTTATCAACCTGTTCATTGCAGTTTTCAAAACAAATATGAAAATGAAGATAGGACTATGGTGCACTTGGGGGTATTTTAACAGCTCACACATCACAATTACGGCATGTTTGCATAACATTTGCAAATGTGGACACAGTGGGGTATTTCATATATATTGAGCTTTATTTAGGTGCAATTTGTCATGCATTTTCAAAGTTTATGATAGTAATTTATAATTCATAATTTTTTACTTTCGAATTGTATTTTGTATTTTGCATTTTGTATTTTTACTGTTGAATTGTATTTTGTATTAAATCTCATTAGTGTCATTACAATAAAACTCCCTGTTGTTTAGCAGGAAACACTGAGTAGAACTATACCCCCCTATCTATGAAAGTTTAAGCAAAGATACAGGGCCAAATTAGCTACCTA